TGAAGTGAGTGCTTTATTTTGAGGCACCTTTGATCCGTTTTTAGAGTGCTACAGCTACACAATTCCATATTCCAAGATTATATTTTTTGTTGCACAATCTAAAATGGGCCGCTATTGATTACAATAAAAAATAAAACTAATAATAAATGAAAAAAATCTGTACCATTTTTTTAAAAACTAACGATTTTTTGAACCACTGGATATCACTGACCTATCCTATATATCATCATTCTTTTTACCTCTAAAAACAATTATATTATTCATCCAAGCACAGTGTATTTTGTAATATCAAGCAAACTTTTAAACTTATTTAAAATTGGTTTGTAGGTAATTTGTTATCATTAATTACTGACACATTAGAACAATTCCGCGAACTGCAGCGGCAGATGAAATCCGAAATCATCCGGATATGATAGCAAGAGCGACACATCATCATTTTCTACGCCGCTGTCAACTTTGTATGAATATTAACGGCGGGATAGTTGAACATTTATTATGATTTTGTGGCACCCTTAAAAAAATAGCTACATGAGCATCAATCGACGTAAAAAGTGAAAGGTGAAATTTAAAATCGACGGAAAAACCACGGAAACCTCGAGATACCTAACAATAAAAATTAGGTATTGTTTTATTCAAAGTACCTAAAAATAGCTGAGTATGCAAAACAAAAAACAATTATCAACAAAATAATCAACGAAAACACAAATGTAAATTTTTAATGAATGTAGATTATTGCTCACCGTTCAAGCATATTTTGCGTCAGTTGTCATAGGTCAGGAACAACCAGTGGCGGCCCAAATTTCTACTTTACTTATAAACATTTTAATGATTTTTTTATAAAAAAAATGGCACTAATGCAAAAATGTTGAGAAAAAACTTTCTTATTTTGGCGTGTACTATCATCCCCTTAAAGGATGACAACTTATTTGGTGACACCCTGTATGTTTTTTTAGGATTTGTTTTTAATTTATTGTATCCTCCAAAAACTAGCATTTATATTGCTAGTGCATTATTAATAAATTATTCTACCTACAATAATTGACGTGATCACTTTTTATTATTAATTTTAAAAATAAATTTCTCTTAAATCTTTCATAAGTCACTAAAAATGACTTAAATCGTGTGAGAGAAGGCTTAAAAAAAATTTAAGCCCTTTTAAAAGCCTCGAAACTTAAATCATTTATATTTTACAGATTATTTCCCTCATCATAATATGAACCAATCAAAAGCCTTGAATTTTCGAATAAATTTCGTTTAAATAAGCGATTAAATCACTAGAACTATTTAACAGCGATTAAATTTTAGCCTACATATTGGATTTTTGTTTACGATTTTATGGTGTTATTTACAAGTTTTAACAAACATTTTTTAAAAAACAATAAAAAATAAGTTATCTAGTTTACGAAATATCAATTATTACCTACTTATTACATACCTTAAATTAATGGAATTTTCTTTAAAAAAATATTTATAAATTTTGACACATACATACGTCAGATTTTATGAATTGTCAAATAGTTTCCTTTAATTCGAGAAATAATCTAGACGTATATCACTCAACCTATAAATTTAATCTGTCAAACTATGCTCAGTAAGTTTTTTATTTGATTTTTTTTTTGAAAATAGTTTCATGCAAAATAATTAAAAATAAAACCCCTCGACCGCTACGCGGTCTCATGATTTTATTAAATTATTTTGCATTCAACATTTTCCAACAAAAACCAAACAAAAAACTACTGAGCCTTGTTTAACCGATTAAATTCATAGTTCTCGTGATATAATATATGACTATTTCCCTCCTCTTAATTTCCACCAATCACAAACGCGCAATTTTGAATTACAAATGGTTTCTAGGTGAAAAAACTGTGTGACAGCACCTGTCAGCAGTTTTTTCGAGTTTACCCGCGGCAAACTTGACAGCTGTTGTCACCAAAAATTGCAATTTATATTTTAATTGTTAACTGTTACTCATGAAATAGTCTTGTCAAATACCATTCGGGCATCTAATTTTTCCTGTTAAAAAAAATCGAAAAAACACAATGCTAAGTAATATTTTTTAACAAAATGCATTCATGCAGGTGCAAAAATCCTCCTCTTCGACTCGGATTTTTGTTGCCACCAGCACTCATGCTTCTTTTTAAAATATTACTTAGCAACGTGTTTTTTTGATTTTTTTCGGAAAAATTAGATGCCCTTATAATATTACTTACGAAAAAAAGACTTAAAATTTAAATAATTTTCCGGTCTGCATAAAATAAAGAATTTGAAAAGTGTTATTTTTACACTTTACTTTTAGCTCAAGAATTGTTTCCATTCGATATGTACTTCAATAATATTGAAGTAGATATGCCATATTATATTATTTTAACGTGCATGGATTTTATTTATTTATGCGAACTGCTGCCATGGCACATGCGAAAATTAAATTACTGCCTAAAGAACATTCCGACAAAATTTAAATAACTCCGACGATTTATAACTTAGGCATCGCGATTTATCTTGATGCTCGAGATATATCTCAATGCTTTTTAGAAATGACTTGTATCAGCTCTCTGGAACACAATATAATTTAATAATATATTTTTAGGCCGTGGAGTATTGTCAACAAAAATATTGGAATAAAAAATAACCATGCATAACAACGCAATTGCAAAAAGAAATATGATTTAAAAATACTCTGTTAATACTTAAAATAATGTAAATAATAAAACTGATGCAAAACTAATATTTTTTTTAAACAATCGGGTATTAGTACGTATTATTTAATATTTAATATAAGTATTACAAAAATAAATTTATTTTTATATTCGTGCAAAAAATTTAAATAAAACTTATTAAATGAATATGCATAAAGGAGTAATGTACTTAAAAAAGCGAGTAAATGGTGATAAAAACATTATGCCAAGATATTTTGCTGTTACTTAAGTAATTACTAAAATGTCTATAGCGACAGCCTTAAGCACTATTTGCTCGTTTTTAGGAACAGGTAAGTTGTTTTTATTATTTATTATATTATGTTATTATAAATAATGTTAATTAAAATTATAGTTCCCCTCATATGCCCAGAGGAAGCTGCAGTATATTATTATTTATTTACAAGGTAAAATAAGCTATGAACAATATTTAAAGGAAAATATCAACTTTTTTCAGAAATAATTCACAAAATCCAACACAGCTTTTCTTAAACAATAATAATGTTTTAAATGGTTCCTACATTAATTTTGTAAAACCAACAAAAATATATGTTACCGGATTCCTGGGTACATATGACACTCCCGACTCACAAGAAGTAAAAAATGGTAGGTAAACAAATATGTAGACATTGGAATGAAAACTGGTCTCTAATAACAACATGTGTAGCTAAAAATCTTAAATCGAAGATTTTAAAGTCAAAATATGTAATCGTTTTTCTTTTTAGGTAATCTTGTTTTTGATTTTTTAAGAATTTTTTATAAATACGAAAGTGTGTTAAAAAATGTCTGCAAAAATGGTGCGAGTGTAATTTTAATTTATACCTATTATTTGTTTTAAAATTTGGTTTTAATATAGGTATCATTTTTGTTCGTAATAATAATATAATCTTTAATTGCCTTAGGCCCGTTATTTCCAATGCGAGTAAACTTTCGTGTTAGTAAACCTAGGATTAACTTAAATTCGAAGTTAACTTGAAGTTATGTTTTTATGGGTTTTTCCAAAGATTTTGCTACCCGAGTTTAGTAACTCTAAGTTAAGAAGTTTATCTTTATGTTGGTATCTGTGATTCTATTATTAATCTATGGATTTTATTTCAAATTGGGGAACCATCTATGGACGGTCTGATAAAGTGAGTTTTTAAAGGTGTCTACGCAGTGCGTTGTTTATTGGATTGGATTAGATAGTTTGAATGTTTGTGTGAGAGCTTGCAATTAAATTAAATTTTGGGTAAAGTATTATCAGCAAAAATTAGTGGGACTGAGAAAAAAGAGTCCAGATCAAGACCAACCAATTTTAGTAAAACAGAAGATCAGTTGCTGCTTAATCTGGTTTTGAACGACAAGCACGAGCCGTGTTCGAGTATACGAGATAAAAAAGGCCTAATAAATAAGTATAAAAAAACATCGAAAGTCAAAATTATGTCAAACAGGAACAGTATAAGACAAATTGGGGGATGTTCAGGTAAAATTTATGATACGGACGAAATAGACAAAACAGTGGAATAAATATTAGGTGATCAAATATATGGTTTAACTCCCCTTTTCGATTGTGATCAAGATGAGTCAGTCCTCATGAAGAACATGTAAAATGAACTCACTAATTTGGAGCATGAAAAAGAAAATGCTGAGGTACAAATCGTAACAATATTGCCAAAAGCAAATGTAGACATCCCCATTGGTGAATTTGTTGTCTATAGCGATGGGATGGTCAACACAGATGGGAGGGCAGGAGAAGCCAACAACTGGACAGAATACAGCCCCAAAGAACCAGTTAACAGTAAATTAATATCGGCTAGAACAGGAAAAGTAAGACAAGGCATTTAAACAACTACTTTTCGAACAATTAACCCAAGAAAAATAAGTTTTTTTGGGTTTCATAGGGAAAAGTTAACAGAAGAACATGAATTAAAAATTAAAAAATTTACCAAAAAGCTGCAGTTGCAACAAAAAAAGATGGAGATATTAATGAAGGAAAATTACTTATTGTCTGCTCATTTATTATTGTTTGTCGTTACTATTTTTATGTCTTTATTTAGAATTATAATATTTGATTAGCTGTGTTCCTTATAAACCAACAATTGGTTAAGTTAATTCACAATATCTAGGTTAACTTGTACCTGAGCTTCGAGTTAATTGTAAATGCGAGATAACTCAAAAAATAGAGTAATCCAGATATTGAAATTTCAAATTTAACTTTAAGTTTAGATGTAACTCGCATTTAACACGCAATGGAAATAACGGGCCTAAGTGTAAAAATTTTAAAAAATAGTGAATTACGTTTTACTTTAAGCTTATTTATATACTCAGGATTGCAACATGATTTTGGTAGATTCGTCCCAATTTTTAACAGGTGTAAACCTTAATACAGGATTTTATTTTGACGCACATCCTGTAGGCATCTTATTAGCAGAGTTTATAGACTATTTGATAACGAAAGGTTTAAAATTGACTGATTTGGAACTCATTGGTGTCAGTTTAGGAGCACACGTTATTGGTATAGCTGGGGCTGCGATTAAAAGTGGAAAACCAGCTAAAATTATGGGTTTGTACCAAATTTATCAAAAACTTTAAAGGCTTAAATCTATGGAAAATGTATCCTATAATTTGTATTTGAAAGAATATAATCTTGAGGTTATTAAATAAAATAGTTTGTGTTTTAAGCTTATGAACCTGCCGGATTTAATTATGACTCATATCCGCCAGACATGAGGCTGGACGAAACAGATGCACAATTGGTCATGGTAATTCATACGGATCCTGATGGTTGGGGTTACGACAAGTCCTGTGGTCATGTTGATTTCTGGATAAACATGGATCTAGCTTTTCAACCTGGATGTACCACCGTAGAAGCTATTGCTAGGTTATCTACTGATATTACAGACTATGGTTAAAGATTTTATTAAATTTTAAACTTGAAATAATTAATCCTGGTTTATTTTTTAGTTGCTTGCAGTCATTCGTACAGTTATCGAGTAGGTGTATATGCTATTTATCATCCAACTGCGTATCCAGCTTTAAATTGTACCAGTTACGATGATTATGCAAACGGGATGTGCAACAATAATGATCTTCAATATGTTGGTGATCAAGTAAATACATCGTAAGTACATTAAAACAGAACCTGGTAAAAAACACCTACAGTCAAACTTTCCTACCTTGAAACTGAAGTGACCCGCAAAAAATTGAGTTATGGAAATATTCTAGTTATAGACATAGATAAAAATACATGTAAAATGGACTAAAACATCAGTGTTTACGAAATTAGAGAATGGACTCGAGGCGCAAACCTCATCCTCGTGAATAATAGCCCGCATTATTTCTTGTATAATATATACCAACATTAGGTCCAAGAACGCTTTATTTTTGTGATAAACGGTGTTTAATTTTGAACCATAAATGTCGCAAAATGTTTGAGAAATGATGATTACGACACGCGAAAAAATAAACAATATTATCTACACCTAGGTACCAAGAAAATTTCTATACAATTTGATTACAAAAGAATATAAATAAATAAATTTAATAATCGTGTATCTTAAAAGGGCATGTAAATTGGTACTGAACACCCTGATCTTATTAGCACATTATTAAGAAATGCCATGTACAGGGTGTCCCGCGGCACATTTTATTTTTAAATTGAAAATAGCCCGAAATGAGCACGGTGTGCCTGAACGAAGTTTAAGTCGCATAAATATGCCGCCAAAAACTAATTGCAGTATCTTGTTCGGGACCCTTTGTTGACCTAAAAATGATATTTACCAAAATCCTAGCTGCTCCTCTTTTCGACATTTTTTGAAAATTTTTGTTTATTTCAAAGTCTACCTTTGACAGAGTTCACATTTGGACACCGATTTTTATAAAATTATAGTAGAGTAGAGTATATTATTGAGGAGACTTAAAGAATACTTTTTAATACTGTTCACGTCATTTGATATATACAGGGTGAGCCATTTTTATTTTATTTTATTTTTAATAAAGCAAAAGCGTAAATTCATGATTTTGGCATAACACGAAAAAAGGTTTATCCACATTTTTTTTAGATATGTTTACGTTTATCAGGTTTCAAAATGGCATTCTTATTAACCTTTTAAAAAAAAATAGATTTTTAATAAAATTAAATAAAATAACGCTTAGAGAATATTTAAATTGTTGTTCAATTTAGGCTTTTTAGAACGAAAAACTGGTTAAAGTTTTTTGATCGGCACTCTTTGGAGATTTAAAAACGATATTTACCAAAATTCTAACTGCTTTTTTTTAAATTTGTACACCGATTTTTATTGATTGCAGTTTCTTGTTCGGGACCCTTTGGTAACTTTAAAATCATATAAATATTACCAAAATCCTAGCTGCTCCTCTTTTTGAAATTTTTTGAAAATTCTTAAGTAATTTTTTTAAAATTTTTTGTTTATCTTACCTTTAACAGAGTACACATTTGTACACCGATTTTTATAATATTGGAGTATATTGTTAACGAGACTTGGAGAATACTGTTTTCATACTGAGTACATCATTAGATTTATACAGGGTTAGCCAAAAATCACTTTTTTATATAGTAAAAAGCATAATGCACAAAAAAGATATATCTCCAAAAATGTTGTTTAATTTATTTAATTTTATTCAAAATCAATTTTTTTTATAAAGTCTTAATTTGTAGCCTGATAAACATAAAAATATCTAAAAAACCATGGGTGGGTATATCTTTTTTTCGTGTTATGCCAAAATCATGAATTTACGCTTTTGCTTTATTAAAAGAAGCGATTTTTGGCTAACCCTGTATATATTAAATGATGTGCACAGTATAAAAAAGTATTCTCCAAATCTCCTTAACAATATACTCCAATATTATAAAAATCGGTGTACAAATGTGCACTTTGTCAAAGGTAGGCTTTAAGAAAAACAAAAATTAAAAAAAAAATCATGACTTTTCAAAAAAAATTGAAAAGAGGAGCAGCTAGGATTTTGGTAAAACTCATTTTTAAGTCACCAAAGGGTCCCGAACAAGAAACTCCAATCAGTTTTTGGCGGCATTTTTATGAGACTTAAACTTCGTTCAGGCACACCGTGTGAGATTGCGCGATATTTAAAAGTGTTCTCGGGATAAATTTCATTATTTAGGAAATCAGTTTGTATGAATCGCTTTACTGGTAAAGCTCTCAGACTTTGCGTGAAAGCCTATTACAAACAACAATTTTTTGATCGCCGCACGAAGATTTTTCTCGAAATTAAAAAAAATGTTTTCGGTGGTAAATATGTTTGACTCGTTAAATATAAATGCAAAAATAAATGTTTGCCCTTAATCCAAAGTTAATTCATACGCTTTTAAAGTTTGGATGAGTTTATTAGTAATTCATTTAAATAAAGGTGGAATTAAAGACCTCGCTGCAACAAGGAGGTATCTGTAATTTTTAACCAATTCGAGGTATTTGCAAAAAAAATCAATCAAACACTAGTTTTAGATTCTTTTTAGTTTTAAATTCTGTGTTTGGCATTAATAAACATTGACTGCAGACCAATAAAGGTTACAACAAACAAAACTATTTTAAAATAGTTTTTATGCTTTTCTGAAAATTTTTGTAAAGAACACATAGGTACCACCCTCCTTCTTGCTGGGGGATAATTTGGTAGTATCTCTTTAAATATTATTCTTTTGACTGTAAAAATGTTTCAAAAAGTATTATTATTAAAATTATAAATTATTTTTAGGGCCCAAGGGAATTACTACGCCAGGGCTGGTGATGAAGTATACAGTATAAAACCTTAAAATTATAACATATATTAAATATGTAAAATCATAAATGCTTGTTAATTTTCTTCGTAATAAACATAATGATTATCTTATTCATTTATTTGTCCTAATATTTAACATTGTACTATGTATAATGTGCAGGTAATTGCAGGTTGACCATTGATTACGAAGAACAGTACCTAGGTAATTTACAAAATGTTTTAAAATAATGTGCTTGCATTGAATACCCACTAATATATTTAATTATTAAAGTTAAATTAAACCTTTTGCATAAAATTTTCTTGTTAACTTACCAGTCACGAAATAAAAAGTTTTTGCATATGTCCAATAATCATAATTTAATATTATACATGTATATACACATACATCTTTGTATTAATTAAAACACTATTTGCTTCTTATTCAAAAAATTTACATTGAACAATAAAATTTTGCAAATACAACCATTTATATTAATGTGGGTATCATAAAATGCATATATTGGTGGATTATTTTGCTTAAAAGCCGTATGCAAATAAAATGTCTGTCCGTCGTCAAAAGAAGTTTATAATACAAATTTTAAATAGAAATGTATCCTATGGTTATAAACACTTTATGTTCGGTTTTAGGCTTAAGTAGAAATAGTGTGATTAAGTTTAAATAAATATTAACGTGTTAAAATTTTAGTTCCCTTAATATGTCCACCGGAAGCTTCTGTATATTATTTTATTTTTACACGGTAAGATCCTATTTATTATTTTTTTTATACATAACTGTACGGTATACCTACATTCATTTACACTATACCACTTTTTTCAAATATAGTGATCTATTGCAATGACATTACTATTTTAGAAAAAACACCGGAGAACCTGCAAGATTAAAGTTAAATGATGATAAAGCATTAAATGATTCATTTATTGATTTCGAGAGACCAACTAAGTTATATGTGACTGGATTTTTAGGAACATACACTACTGCCGATTCTCAGGAAGTTAAAAATGGCAACCTTCCTTATTCTTATCTTATACCATAACAAAAAATAATATTTTAGCTTATTTGAAATTCGAAGATTGCAATGTGATTTTGGTTGATGCCTCGCAAATTTTTATCGGGGTAGACCTTAGAAATGGGGCTTATTTTGAAGCCCAACCTGTGGCCGTACAGGTAGCACAGTTTATAGATTATTTGGTTTCAAAAGGCTTGAAACTGCCTGATCTTGAACTTCTTGGTACAAGTTTGGGAGCACAAGTTATTGGACTAGCTGGATCATTGGTTAAAAGTGGCAAAGTTGCTAAAATAGTGGGTAAAGTACAAAACAAATAAGGCAAAATGCTAAAGAATGTTGTTTAATGAACCTAGCATTCTTTTTGCCATTTTATCATAGTGTATTTACCAAACGTTCTGTTTTAGCTTATGATCCAGTAGGTTTGGTTTTTAACACATATCCTCCGGAAAAAAGACTGGATAAATCAGACGCAGAGTTGGTCATAGTAATTCACACAAATACAAATTTATGGGGATATTATGGTCCTTGTGGGCATGTTGATTTTTGGATTAACAGAAATAGGTTAATTCAACCGGGATGTACTAAGTTTGAAACAATTTTCATCAGAAGATCAACTAACCCTGATGACTATGGTACTTATTATTTGTTACTTATTATTTGTTAATAAAAACACTCTGGGTTTAATATTTATTTCTGAAAAATATAATTAAATTATTATTTTCGTGTATCTATCAAAACATTTTTTTTAGTTTCCTGCAGTCATGTCTACAGTGTTCGTGTAGGTGTATATGCTCTTAGTCATCCAACTGCATACCCATCTCGTAATTGTTCGAGTTATTTGAATTATGCAAATGGACTTTGTGACAAAAATAATCTTCAATATGTTGGTGATCTAGTAAATACATCGTAAGTTCTATAAAGCCCTTTTATTATTTTTGAACAAAAAAATACTGTTTTAGTGCCTATGGAAATTATTATGCCAAAGCTGGAATTGAAGTATATTCTATAAATCCATGATGTTTGTAATTTGATAAAAATATATTTTGTTATAAATTTTAATTTTGTTTAATTTGTGATGATTTTTATATAAAAAGTAAGAAGTGATTACGCAGGTTTTCGTTTATCGATCTACTTTTGAACCCAAATTTTATTTTTATGGTATAGGAGTTAACTTCATATTGAAAATAATTGTCAAAACTTAAGAAAGAAACTTAATATTATTAACACTATAGGTAGATTTTTAACTTTTGAAGACTCACGAAAACGCTGGGACACATAAATTTAATTTTCGCTCGTAAAATTTAGTAGTGTAATCCGTTTTTCTACGTTACCTGGATTCTCAATATTTCAGATTTAAGTTTGGGTACTTTTTTATTTACTGTTTGTTGTATTTTGCTAATTTTTAAAGGACATGACACCAAAATCTCTTTTGATATATCTCTATTTATTTTAATTCACCAATACTCAACTCTAACAATGATGACCAGTACGACAGCATCACTTGTACCCGTCAGACGTTTATTTCATATTTGCTACATTTCTAATAAAACAAATATATATATATGGGCAGATCCATTACTTTTCGACAAAAGTGTGCGGGGGTAAGTCACCGATTTGGCTGCTGATTTTTTTCTTGAAAGTAGGTCATATAAGGAGACGATCCTAAAAATTTGAGCTCGATATAGGTAATTCCGGCTGCAAGAAAATTTTTTGAAATATAAAAAAAGTCGATTTTTTAGTCATTTTCAAAAATTTGTATATCAGCTCCTATTTAACTTAGAGATTTGATCAAGACGGCATTTTTCTCTGTTATCCCTCTTTTTTCAAGAAAAAAATAGATTTTAAGTTTAAACTCAAATCCGGCTAAGCTGTACGCCTCCAAATAAAACACTGCTTAAGATAAATTTTGCCAATTTTTAAAGTGCTCTCAAATCTACAGTTTTTGAAGCAGTGGAATAAATGACAGATGATATTTTTCGTTAAGGTATACTCTGTTGGAATTTACCCATTTTTTACTTGATTGCTTCGATTTCTCTAATGTATGGCCACTCAAAGACAATTGATTTTTGAAAAATCAATGTTTTCAGATACCTACAACTTTTTTCTATCGATCCGAAATCCTTTGAAAATTTCAGGGATTATACTTTATTCTATTCCCAAACAAACCATCAAAACTTTTCTTTGGGTATTGAAGTGGTTTCCGAGCTATGAATTTTTAAAAATGTCAAATTTTCAATATAATATGACATTTTTGGTAGTTTTATTATCAGTTAAATGAATTATTAGTAATACTTTAGTCAATAATCTATTAGACCTTGTTCATTTTTCTCAAAAGTAAGTCATATAAGGAGACGATCCTAAAAATTTGAGCTCGATATGGGTAATTCCGGCTGCAAGAGAATTTTTTGAAATATAAAAAAAGACGATTTTTTAGTCATTTTCAAAAATTCATATCTCAGCTCCTATTTAACTTAGAGATTTGATCAAGATGGTATTTTTCTCTGTTATCCCTTTATTTTCCAGAAAAAAATAGGTTTTAAGTTTAAACTCAAGCTGCAAGCCTCCAAATAAAACACTGCTTAAGAAAATTTTTATCAATTTTTAAAGTGCTCTCAAATCTACAGTTTTTGAAGCAGTGGGATAAATGACAGATAATATGTTTCGTTAAGGTATACTCTGTTTGAATTTACCCATTTTTTACTTGATTGCTTCTATTTCTCTCTGTATGGCCACTCAAAAACAACTGATTTTTGAAAAATCGCTTTTTTCAGATACCTACAACTTTTTTCTATCGATCCGAAATCCTTTGATAATTTCAGGGATTATACTTTATTCTATCCCCAAACAACCCATCAAAACTTTTCCTTGGGTATTGAAGTGGTTTCCGAGCTATGAATTTTTAAAAATGTCAAATTTTCAATATAATATGACATTTTTAGTAGGTAGTTTTATTATCAGTTAATTGAATTATTAGTAATACTTTAGTCAATAATCCATTAGACCTTGTTCATAATGTGCAGCCAGCCTATAATGATAATTAATTTAATGCTTACCGACAGATATCAATTAATTTATTACGAATTTAACTGATAATAAAACTACCAAAAAATGTCATATTATATTGAAAATTTGACATTTTTAAAAATTCATAGTTCGGAAACCACTTCAATACCCAAGAAAAGTTTTGATGGGTTGTTTGGGGATAGAATAAAGTATAATCCCTGAAATTATCAAAGGATTTCGGATCGATAGAAAAAAGTTGTAGGTATCTGAAAACAGCGATTTTTCAAAAATCAATTGTCTTTGAGTGGCCATACATTAGAGAAATCGAAGCAATCAAGTAAAAAATGGGTAAATTCCAACAGAGTATACCTTAACGAAAAATATCATCTGTCATTTATTCCACTGCTTCAAAAACTGTGGATTTGAGAGCACTTTAAAAATTGGCAAAATTTATCTTAAGCAGTGTTTTATTTGGAGGCTTACAGCTTAGCCGAATTTGAGTTTAAACTTAAAACCTATTTTTTCTTTGAAAATAGAGGGTTAACAGAGAAAAATGCCGTCTTGATCAAATCTCTAAGTTAAATAAGAGCTGAGATACGAATTTTTGAAAATGACTAAAAAATCGACTTTTTTTATATTTCAAAAAATTCTCTTGCAACCGGAATTACCTATATCGAGCTCAAATTTTCAGGATCGTCTCCTTATATGACCTACTTTCGAGAAAAAAATCGGCAGCCAAATCGGTGATTTACCCCCGCACACTTTTGTCGAAAAGTAATGGATCTGCCCATATATATATATAATATATATATATATATATATATATATTTGTTTTATTAGAAATGTAGCAAATATGAAATAAACGTCTGACGGGTACAAGTGATGCTGTCGTATATATATATATATATATATATACATATATATATATTAGGGTGATTCATTTCCGCAAAGTTTTTTGTTTTCTTCGGTGCTTAAGCAAAATATTAATCTGCATATAGAAAAAAAAATTCTTAACAAGTTTGAGCTCTTAATATCAATTTTAAGTACTTGCAGTTTAAATTTAAAGTTTTCCCATTTAAAAAGCATGTAAAAAAAATGTTTTTTTTTTCAAATTTCTAATGCTTACCCACCTTTGAAAATATTGCAAATCGGTTTAATACACCTTATGGGAATTTCACGCTCTTTAAAATTGCTTTTGAGTTTTTTTTTGTAACTCGCATTGGTTCACCAGTAGGAGTCGTCAAAGGACAGTTTTTGAAAAAAATTGTTTTTTTTTAATTTTTTCTAACAAACCGCAAAAAGTAGGGAGAAAAGTTTTTGTTTTCTTCGGTGCTCAAGCAAAATATTAATCTGCATATAGAAAAAAAAATTCTCAACAAGTTTGAGCTCTTAATATCAATTTTAAGTACTTGCAGTTTAAATTTAAAGTTTTTCCCATTTAAAATGCATGTAATAAAAATGTTTTTTTTTCAAATTTCTAATGCTTACCCACCTTTGACAATATTGCAAATCGGTTTAATACACCTTATGGGGAATTTCACGCTCTTTAAAATTGCTTTTGAGTTTTTTTTGTAACTCGCATTGGTTCACCAGTAGGAGTCGTCAAAGGACAGTTTTTTGAAAAAAATCGGTTTTTTTTTAATTTTTTCCAACAAACCGCAAAAAGTAGGGAGAAAAGTTTTTGTTTTCTTCGGTGCTCAAGCAAAATATTAATCTGCATATAGAAAAAAAAATTCTCAACAAGTTTGAGCTCTTAATATAAATTTTAAGTACTTACTATTTAAATTTAAAGTTTTACCGTTTAAAATGCATGTAAAAAATATATATTTTTTTTCAAATTTCTAATGCTTGCAAAGGTGGTTTGACAATATTGCAAATCGGTTTAATACACCTTATGGGGAATTTCACGCTCTTTAAAATTGCTTTTGAGTTTTTTTTTTGTAACTCGCATTGGTTCACCAGTAGGAGTCGTCAAAGGACAGTTTTTGAAAAAAATCGGTTTTAGGAATTATAATGCCTATTCAGCAAAGCAAGTTCGACTTAAAATTAGAAACAAGCATATCCGACCAGGGGACGTGACTTTAAAAAGTACTAATAAACCCATAAATCTTAAGTATATGCACTATAAACCAATTTCTGATCTTTGCCTAACATAAACATAATTAAACACTTGACACCTCTTACCATCAGGCATCAAACAAACTGCGAGACTTGAAGAGTTAAAAAAACAAAAAACAAATGTTTAGAGCAATTATATTTAATAAAATAATATAAATGCAACTTTTTAATTGTTAGAAAAGAATAATAGAAAACGTAAATACAATATCTACCACAAAACGTAGACAACGGAACGCTTAGGCAACACTCAAACCTGAAATTACTTCGTTGATAAACAGTTAAAAAAACTATCGATAACTATCGGTAGGTTACATTCCCGACTATCGAAAACTATCTATCGAAAGTTCTGTGGGTAAAAGGCATAAGGGGATAAGTCAAAAATATGAATTTTTTAGCAGTGCCTTTAACGTGTTCGCATTAATTTAGGAAATACATTTATGATTAGCGGGTATACCCTTTTGCCAGCACATGTCATATGCTAGCAAAAGGGTAAACTCGCTAACCATAAATATATTTCCTAAATTAATGCGAACACGTTTAAGTCTCTACCGAAAAATTGCTTTTTTTGACTTATCCCCTTATGCCTTTTATCCAGAGAGTTGTCGACCTCTAGACTGTAGAAATGGTTTCGCACAGTGAGGTAAACAATTTACGTACAGCAGTTTCCGAATTTACAGCATAGTAATTTTCAGCAGACACGTACGCAGACGAACAATAAGTCTCGAACTGTCATCTACGACCTAAGAGAGATTTACCAGCCAGGGCGAAAATTCGGATCCATTAAACACAGGTATGTAGTTGCGGGATACGTAGGTGGTAAAAGCTGGAGCGATGCCGATGGGGCCAGCCATACGTACCTTATACTCACTCAACTCAATACTTAACTTTAACAATGATCAGGCGGATACAATTCATTGTTTTTAATTTTTAGCCACTGGAATTAAATGTATTTTGATAATTTTTTCGCCTGGAATCAGCTGGAAAAAAATTTGATTCTTTTCTATTATATTCTAATAAAATTTAAAGATTTCAACTGAACAGATAGCCGTATACACTATCTATCTAAATATATGATTTTTTATCAATATGCCGAGTTATTCGTATCCGCCGAATAGTAGTCTTGATATTCATATTCGTAAAAGTACTATTCGTTGCATCACTAGTTATTACATAATCAGGCTGTTTTTCTGGGTACATGGTAAATTTTACCAGGTAAAAAGATATATTTTCAAAACAATCCGAAATTAGTATGTATCTATGAAAAATGTAATATTTAATATGTTACTTTTAGTATCTCAAAATAATTACTTTTTCAAAAATAAATTTGTTGTGATATTTTTACAAAACATTTAAATAAAACAAATATTTATTTTGATATTAAATGCATATGCATTAAGGAATAATTTAGTTAAAAAGCGAGTAGGTAAATAGTGATAAAATATTATTGGGACAACTATTTTGGTGTGAATTACTAAAATGTCTATAGCCTCAGCCTTAGGTATTTGCTCGTTATTGGGAGCAGGTAAGTTGTTTTTATTATCTTAGCTGTGTTTTATAGTATTTTATTATAGGAGAGGTAATGCAGCCTCGAGGCTCGAGGATGAGGTTTACTGTGTGAATAATGCGCATTATTCACTCGGATGATTACGTCTCTCGCCTCATGACGCAAACCTCATCCTCGTAAATAATAGCAGGCTAACCTGCATTTTCTCTCGTGTAATAATATACTATTAATAACAAATATATATATATATATATATATATATGTATATATTTTAGGGTGTTTTAAAAAAACAATTATTTTTTTTCTAATGGTGTTAAAACACGACTATTTTTATTTTATGGCTCCCAACTCAAAATCTTGTTGAAAATGTTCAAAAAAAATTTCATAAAATGTCAATTTAAACGCTTTATACAGGGTGTTTACGGTCTAGGGGTCGAAAATTGAACCGGCGGTGTAAGGTAATAAAGTAATGGTAGATTTGTTGGAATTTTGAAAAAAAAAATCAATTATAAAAAAGTTATTAAAATTTAAATTTATTCAAAGTTTTGATACAACTTTTGAGGGTCATTGGTTTGATACGGGTGGAGACTTAAATAAAAAAACTGACAACAAAACGTTTCTTAAACAATAAAGAATAATATTATATTATTATTATATTAACATATGTCATGGATTTGAATACTTCAAAAAAAACTTTCTAATTCCGTCAAAAAACTGAATTAATTTTGCAATGGCTCATGTTTATTCTAATAACGAATTAGTGGATATGATAATGGTGTACGGGGAAGCACAAGGTAATGCTGAAGAAGCAAGTCGAATTTACGCTAATAAATTCCCAAATCGCTTTCACCCCGCGCCTCGGAGATTTTTTAACGTAACGCAGCGAGCCCGCGATACCGGGGAGCTCCAACCCCATTATGGTCGTGATGGGGGCCCTGATAGGTTGCAAAGAATTTTGAACGCAGAGGAACAAGTACTGCAACTGGTAGCAGAGGACCCATCACGAAGCACTAGGAGCATTGGTCGTCAGTTACGAGTATCAAATAGGGTAGTTTGGCGCACCCTCAATGAAGACCTGCAGCACCCTTATCACTTTCAAAGAGTGCAGGCTTTAAATCCTGACGACCCCGAAAGGAGAATCGAGTTCTGCCAGTGGATTCTCCAACAAAATGAGGCTAATCCTAATTTTGTTGACGAAATTTTGTTCACTGACGAATGTACATTTACCAGAAATGGTATTTTTAATTTTCATAATTACCACCAATGGTCCGCAGAGAACCCTCATGCCATCAGACGTACCAATTTTCAGCAAAGATTTTCCATTAATTTTTGGGGTGGAATAGTAAATGGATGCCTGCTAGGCCTCTATGAACTCCCACAAAGAATGAACGGCCTCGAATACCTGAATTTCCTCCAACATGGCTTAGAACCGCTTGTGGATGACGTCGTACCTCTGGCAATCCGGCAAAGAATGTTTTTCATGCATGACGGTGCTCCATGTCACTACCTCGAAGCAGTCCGTGCGTTTTTGGATCACGAGTTTCCGTATCGTTGGATTGGGCGTGGGGGACCAATTGCTTGGCCACCAAGAAGCCCTGATTTAAATCCGATGGATTTTTATGTATGGGGCTTTCTAAAAAACTTAATCTATCGGCCAGGATTGCCAGAGGTGCAAGACGTCAATGAGCTTCGTCAAAGGGTCCACGAGGCTACAGAACAGTTACGAGAAGGTGGTGCTATGAGGCAAGCTTGCCAATCGCTGTTGAGACGCGCACGACTGTGCTTAAACTGCAACGGAGGAAACTTCGAACATTTGCTTTAATAATGTAGTTCCAAAATAAAAAGCTTGAATTAAAGAGTGTTTTATTATTTATTAATGCGATTTTACTTTTTCAATTTTCAATCGTAAACACCCTGTATAACAGATTTTTTGGCAATTACATAACAACAACATCTGCGTTCAAAATTCTTTGCAACCTATCAGGGCCCCCATCACGACCATAATGGGGTTGGAGCTCCCCGGTATCGCGGGCTCGCTGCGTTACGTTAAAAAATCTCCGAGGCGCGGGGTGAAAGCGATTTGGGAATTTATTAGCGTAAATTCGACTTGCTTCTTCAGCATTACCTTGTGCTTCCCCGTACACCATTATCATATCCACTAATTCGTTATTAGAATAAACATGAGCCATTGCAAAATTAATTCAGTTTTTTGACGGAATTAGAAAGTTTTTTTTGAAGTATTCAAATCCATGACATTATTCTTTATTGTTTAAAAAACGTTTTGTTGTCAGCTTTTTTATTTAAGTCTCCACCCGTATCAAACCAATGACCCTCAAAAGTTGTATCAAAACTTTGAATAAATTTAAATTTTAATAACTTTTTTATAATTGATTTTTTTTTCAAAATTCCAACAAATCTACCATTACTTTATTACCTTACACCGCCGGTTCAATTTTCGACCCCTAGACCGTAAACACCCTGTATCTCAACAAATAACAATCTTAGTGATTCAACTGATAAGACCTTTTTTAAAGAAAATTAAATTTTCTATAAGTTTGTCCTTTAAATTTTTTCAAAGAATCCAGTCACTTTTGAAATATCTTCAAAAATATGAGAATTTTTCACTAAAATAAGATTTAGTGACTCGTACCATCCTACAGGTGCAGATTACAGCTATGGCACATAAAGCATTTTTGTAGAACTTTTGATTACGAGTAAATCCCTTTTTAAAACAATACAATAGCATAAAATGCGGTTGAGATGTAGATATTAAAAAAAAAAATCAAAGTTTACGTGTATTTTAAATGGGAAATCTTTATACGCTTGGGTAGAGTACTTTGAGTTAATATTAAAGGCTCAAATTTTCAGGGAATTTTTTTTTGAACATTTTAAACAAGATTTTAAGTTGGGAGAAAAAAAGCATATATATACACAGTGTGGCCCGTTTAAGATTAAAATAAAAAAATATTTAAAATGGTATAAAACCTGAAATATTTGGATTTTTTAAATAAAATTTTAAATTTGTCAATAAATTATAGTAGATAATAAATTGCACCACTTTAATTTGAATTATCTTAAATAGGGGGGCCTGGAGGCGGGTGAGGCGACAGGAAAAACTAACTTTTTTCGCAAACTTCAATTTAAATTCTGTTTGCGCCGAACTTGTCTATTTAATGTCATTATAAACTATTATAAATTTGGTGTGGGTCCCATGTCTAATAACTAAAATATTGGTATACCCAAAATCCACCAGCCGCCACTGATTTTGGCATCTGTCAAGTGACATTGAAATTATTTTGTATAGCTCAAAGTTACGGGGGTGTTTCCATCTTAAATGGGCCACACTGTATATATAAAAATCTGACATCTGTCCAAAACCCGATTGGTTCAAATCGCAGTGAATAATGAAATCGGTCAATCACAACGGGAATAATGAGTTCATTATTTCCGTTTTTGTGCGGGCCGATTATAATGGTTACCATTATATACGAAAAATTACAAAAGTGGAACAAAATAGTTAATAGTATTATCTTAATACACAGGCTCAAGTAAGCAAAGTTAAAATTATGAAAAAGTGAGGATAAAAGCGTTTGACACATGTCATATTCCCAGATAACATTCGTGAGTTCACCGTGAATGCACGGTGAAAAATATTGCTTCACGCGTGAATTCACGGTTGCTAAAAGATGCGTCCGCCCCTGGAATTCACCGTGAATGCACACGTGAAGATATATCCGCCCATTGAATTCACCGTGAATGCACACGTGAAGATGCGTCCGCCCCTTAAATGCACACCTGAATTCACCGTGAATGCACACGTGAAGATGCGTCCGTCCCTTAAATTCACCGTAAATGCATGCGTGTTCTAAATTCGCTCGAAAAAAATGAAATAAGGGTGCATGTTCAGAAAACATATTTTCCTCTATAAAGTAAAATAAGTTTTCTGAACAAAAAATGTGCATTCACCATAATTTCAATTTTTTCGCGCGAATTTTCATGCATGCGCACTCACTTCGAGCTTCACTTGTGCATTTACGGTGAATTCAAGGGGAGGACGCATCTTCGCGTGCGTATTTACGGTGAATTTCGTGCGTATACTCAATTTTTTTTGCACTTAATTTTAAATTGGAACACAAAATAAAACGTGTTATTTTTTAAAATAACAGATTTTGTTATATTTGTAAATAAATTTATTTACAAATGAAGTCAAATGAAAAATGTTAAATAAAGATGTGATTTATGTCCAATTGGAGAATATTTTTTTAGACAATTATGCCATCCATGCCGACGGTGGTCTAGTGGTTAGTGCTGCTGACTACAAGCCGGAGGTCGTGAATTCGAATCCCACCAGGGGTATGGCTGTTTATTTGTGTTTGTCCTATTGTGTATTAGTCCTTCGAAGGGGACTTTAAAACCCGCGGTCCGTTCCTACCCCTAACCGGCACAAGCCATTCAGTTGGCTTATGGGACTTCTTAAGAAGTAAGGGTGGAACTAAAAGAGCACTTTTGTATAAACTTTGTATAATTAAACTTGAGGTACAATAGTATACTGAAATAAAACACAAAGTGTTATGTTGTAAAGTTTATTCCGAATCAACCTCAGAGGTTTCAATGTCCTCTTTAACCTTAAAAAAATATGAATTATAACATCAATAATATTAATTAATGCATACACATGAGTATAATACTGTATAATATTTTATTATAATATATATTATGTATCACATATATGAAATTACATCTACAGATAAGTATACTTACTGATTCATCACTGGACACATCATCAAATGAGTCAAATAACTCATCATTTTTTCCCCTTATTTTAATTTCTTTTTGGTCCTTAAAAAATATATAAATTATAACATTATTAATGGATTAAAGCATTTATTTACAAGACTCATTTTATAAAATTTAATAAATATTATTTAAAAAACGCTTAGAACAAAAAAAAATATTTGTTTTTGTGTATAAAGAAAAGTCTTGCGATAGCTAATAAAAATATTCTGTATTAATTAATT